GTTGATGTTGATGTATGGCACCAGCACTGATTCAACCACGATCAAAGCGGCTTCGTCGTCGTCATCATCGATCGACATTGTTTGGTGTGAGCAGACGGACAACATAGATTATAATGTCCGATCACACCCAATTGATTCGACTATGACCTCGTGGTTGGAGTTATAGCTTGCTTCTATGAAAGCTTATACGGAAGGGAAAGAAAAATTTTGTTCTTGTAAATATTGACAATGACAAAGTTCAATTTTCATCCCATGTTTTGTTGTTTCCTTAATATGATGGTGTCTATAAGGAATGGTATCAATGTTACATCATGTTCAAAGAGAAAGACTGATCATATGATATCAACAAGTTCTCTCAGACTTTGGACGATTGGTATCAGAGGCAACGCAGCAAATTTGACCAATCATCGTTTGGAAACATGTTCTAACTTTTTGTTTATGTGTGAAAGTCCACAACAACAACAAATAACAAAGTCAACAATCCCAACAAAGCTACATGTCAATCCATCACTGAATCCCAACCACAGGTGTTCACTGATACTATACAAAACCTTTAATCAGAACCATCACTTCAATCATCACTGAATCGATAAAGAATTCCAAGTTTGAAGCATTTGACAATGGCCAAAAAAAAATTCTGGATTGTCAACAAAATATTAAACACACATATCATGGAAGGAAATGCATTCTCTCCAAAAACTCTTGTTGATATGATATGGACGGATTTCAGTAGTGAGAAGAACGCCTGCATTATGTTAAAATCATTAGATGAATAAGAATTCATAGTATCAGCAACTAATAAGCCACCGTTAAGAAATACAAGACAATTGAGATAGAGGAACAAACAATTCAACTTAGGACTCGGAAAAATGATCGAATTGCATCTAAATTACATATTTAGAATTTCGAATGGATATAAACATCCAATCTGAATCTATTATTCCAGCTTTGGAAGTTACAAACGAATTCAAATAACTAATATCAAGTCTACAAAATAGTAAAAATTGGGAGTAACCATGTCGGGTATCAAAATAAATGATAAGAACAAATAATGCTCCTGAGAAGATTGGAACAAACTAAGATATGGGCCTAAAGAACCCCCTTCGGAAATAGATATTTGGTGCAGAAAGGCTCCAACTGTACAAGCCTCCAATAGCAGCAGCAAGAGTTAGAGAAGATGCTGTCAAAAAGGAACAGTTAGTTAAGAGATTTTCTCAGATTCGGCCTCAAAGCTTTACCAAATTAGTTGCGGATCTCTGGAGTTATTCGCTGGATTAGATGGAAATGCCTGCGGAAGTTCATCAAGGCAGAATCAGCAAATGAGAACGCGAGGCAATCAACACTAAATATACTCGGGAGTTCAAGAGAGTGAAGTAAAAAAGAGAGATAGATTTGATGAGAGAGCACCCTAGACGAGTTGATTTTCTCGAATTGCTCTAAAATAAACATGACACAAGTGTGCCTCAGGGACATGGCATGGAATGCCTCCGACAATTCGTACATGCTGGAGACATTGTCTACGCAAACTTCCTGCACGATGAAGCATGCTCAATGCATCTTAGGACTTCAGGCTAAATTTTATTACAACTAGTGAAGCTTCTGAGAATGGGAAAAAGAAAAGACAATATAGTTTCTACCCACTTGTGCAATGGCATATTCACATAGCAGTTTAAGACCCTCAAGAAGATACTGATCCGCAGCTTGTAGAAGATCTTATACGATATCATTAGTGATCTCAACCGATCCTGTGTATATGAATCTGCAAATGAACAGCCAAATAATGTCAGACATCAGAACCTTCAGTATCACGACCAGAAGAAGGAACTACACTTACCGCATCATGGATTCAAAGACCTCCCATCTTATGTTAGGAATCTCAACGTCTCTTGCGTCCTTCTCCTATAACAAAGTTGAAAGAGCAAGATATTTTCAATCAGATCTTACCAGACTAGAAAATAGTAAATTACCTAGCACTTACAAAAAGAAAACTTTTCAAAAAACTTAGTTCATACCATGATACTATTATAAGTTTTGAAAAGCTTATGAATGTTTCATTCAGGTCGTATTGGGCCAGTATGATACTATGATATCAGCATGACATCCGTGAGATGCCTTTTTCACATAATTTTTGTTCATCAGCAAGCATGAAACCCATCATATAACTTGCCTAACCATGCTGGCACATTTCCAACACATGATATTCTGACAAAAAGTTCAATTCTTGATAACACTGACAGAAGGGCATGTTATGAGTTGCGGTATGCATCAAACTCCAAAATATTTGCACCCGGATGACATGAAGGGATCAACTTTTTGACTTATATTATAAATCAGCATTTCTGATATGCATCGAGCAAGTACCAAGTCCATCTTAGTGATCAAAGATATGATTCTCACCTTCTGCATGATTATTTATGTACAGAGAGGACCATGGGGGATTTACATTAATATTTACAAAGAAACAAACTTTTGAGGTGGCATCTTAGTATTTAATTTATCTACTTGTAAAACATGTTCACCGTTTTGTTGTATTCAGTAACCAAAGAACATCAAAACAGACAGATATGCCTCTTTGTATCGCATATAAATGCTTTATTTACTATACGCGCGACAGCTTCTTTATATCAGAAAATAGCCATTTTTTGACAACATTATTTCTATGACTGATCATGATTAGGGCCTAATTCTGAAGAAAAACAAGCATGGTTGACACATGAGTACAACATTTAGATATTTAGCACATAATTAATATCTTCCTTTTAAATGAGGAATGTAGCATACATAAGTTACTACATTTTTAAATGTGCTATGCAATTGTTTAAAAGAAAAAACTACATATGGTAAGAATAGTCCACAACCTTCAATTACAAAGGTAACATATGATAGCGTGGAGCTATTCACATACTGCTCGCCAAGGTACACCTACATGAACAACTTGATTAGTACTATTATAGGTATATAGCTCTGTTCTAGCATAGTAGACAGACTCGTCGGGCCTTTACATTTGTCATGTATTTCTCTATGATAGCATATGCAATTTTTGTTACATAGCAAAACATATTTGTACACAATTGATGCATATGAAGTCCCAACATCAAACACTCAGGATATTGATTATTCAGATATCAATTATGACATGTGATTCTTTTTTTTTACGTCTTGAGAAATAATATACTAATGTATCCATGTTCATTTCAACTAAAATAGGATTGCTGATTTCAAACACAAGCAATCCATTTAAGAGGTCAAACCTATAAAATTAATGCCACCTCTTCAATAATAAGAATACCAAGTAGTTCATTCCTTGTCGTAAGGCATATGCTTTTGCCTCAATTTCTCAAATGATTTATAACAATTAGATCCCAAATTCGCATCTCCTTTCTAGCATATATTTGTTGCAGGATAAACGATATTGTAGATAAGCAAACAATTTTCATTCTCCGATTGAAAAAAGGTTTATACTGATCAAGTAAAATTTATGTTTGATCAGTCTCAAGAGTCAAGACAGACAATTCAAAAAAACTTTGAGTTAGAAGACTAGCCAAAGTAATTACATAAGCACTTTCAAATTCCAAGTAACTAGCTCCAAGAATTGAAAATCTGACCCTTTTCTATATGTTTTTGTATTTCTGTGAATATGGGACATGTTTTGCTGCTAAAACTGCATAGAAACAAAATTAACGAATGCCTATTTTAGCAAACCTGAGGTGAGGGGGATGAAGAAGCTGCATCAACAGAACAGAGAGTCAGAGATTTTTTAGCCAACTTGTAAAGAGCAACTGATGCATCTTGCTGTTGTTTTAGATTAGTCGATCCCAGTAGTTCGAGAAGAAGATCAAGTCCTATATTGAGAATATGTTGCTTAATTTCCTTTGTTATAAAAAGGAGGAAAAGTAGAAGGATGCCAAGATTGCTAGACAGATACAGTACCATTATCATCAATGAAAATAGTTCTTTGATCCTCAAGTAAACTAAATGAGCAAGAGCCAAAGCTATACGTCTTTGGACAGCCTTCTCTCCAACTCGCATCAGATATAATAAATGCTTTAGTACCTGCAAGGGCAAAAGGCAAGGAAAACCATGTCTACATCCATTAAACAGATCCACCAATTAAAAGTAAATCCTTATCGTTCTGAATATATACTGCAATAAGCCAAGAAATACAGCAAACGGAACTTACTCGCCCATTAATCTTCTCCTCTAATCTCTTCATTGTCTTTGCAACACAGTCCTTAGTTGCCTGTAATTGAAGTAATATTTTACAATAAAACTTGGTTCAAAATATAAAACAAATCAAAATAAGATCAATATACACATATTAGGAAGCATGGATCTGGCAACATCAAATTACTCAACATACCTGGATAATGAATTCACCATCTTGTAGTTTCTGAACACCTCCTACCTTGATAAAATCAGAGATATTAGCCTAACAACAAAGACAAGAATAAGAAGCTTGTGTCCAACCAATAGTTCTCAATTTCACATTACAGCATTATGCAAAGAAACAGAATATGAAATCACAACAAAGGAATATTTTGATGTAGATTCACCTCATTCTCTGCAATACCATAAAAAGCAAATGCAGCATTATGTTGCAAACATCCATTTTTCGAGTCAAGAAGTTTTAGAAGAGGCACCAAACCACCATTGTAGACAATACCAGCTTGGTTGTGTGTCCTAGAGGGAAAATAAAAGGTCTTTGAGATAGAGCAAAAACGAGTCAATGTTCACCAGGAAAATGAAGCAAATCCAACCATATATAAGGAGAAAGAAACTAATGTGCTGTATTGTGGAAGATGGATATTGATATTAACAAGAACATTTTTTTCAAAAACATTTCCAAGAAGCATGAGTCATATTACAAAAAAATGATATAATATCAAAAAGTATCAAGAAAAAAATTATATTTTATTATCACATTCAAAACTGAATTTTTTCCTTCTTTGGAAGTATATAATGAAAAGGTCCAAGCATACATGATAATCAAGCTAAAGGGAAAATGAGAAAAGAGCATATCGTGTTGTTTCCTCATCTGGTGTCAGAATAGCCTAGTAAAAGACAGTTGAAATTTTAGATATCATGACACAAGTATGCTACAATTCAAGCAAGGAAGTGAGCTATGAGAGCACAGAAAAGCAAAAGCCCAGGACATGTATACATATCATTGGAATAAAAAACACAGAAGAGAAAGAACTAAAATGAGAACTGCTTTGATTGTTAAGAATAGTGTTCCAACAATCACCAAACTGAAATTTTAAATTAATAAAATAGAGTAGTAACTACTAGAAGCAGCTGTTGTACAAAGCATATATGCTAGTGTACATGCAGCATGCACAACTAGCACAGTATTGGGAAGTGTACCAGCAAATACAACAATAACAAAAAAACCGTGTGTGTGCCAACAAATAAATTCTCAAAATAGATAATATAAACTAGGTAAGCATTTTTTTTCAAACATCACCCAAGCGGATCAGACCCAAGACTGTCACAGAGAACAAAATGATAACATGTATAGATCTGATAGAAGTTACTATGGCAAGGGTTTGAACCCTCGGCCTCTGGGAAAAGGACTAACTACACACTACCGGGCTAGCTAGTTAGGTATTAAACTAGGTAAGTTTGAACATTTTTTATGTATGAAAGCCTTTTTACACTTTTCCCACAGGTGTGATTCAGCAAATAACCACATGCTTTGTTAGCTAAGACCTTGCAGGATTGGCTTTTGGGTAATATAATGGGGATTGTTATGATTAAGTTTAGAACTTTCAAGTTATGTACCACCATCATTTTCTGATCCAGTTAAACATACGGCTAACTACATAACAATTCTACACGGCGATTGGTATGATTAAGTTTTATATATAGCAATTAAGCTTTTTATATAACAATTCAATTCCCACTCGAGCAATGGAAAACACTCCAAAATATTAAAATATATAAAATATATTTTATATATAGCAATGACGTCAACGATGGAGGGAGATAGCACGAAGGCAACAATGATGGAGGGAGCCACAAACAAAGGCAGCGAAAGCGAATATAGGTTTCAAAGCAAGGCAAAGTTGTATGAGCGGGGGTGGGGGGGAACCATATAGTGTTAGGGCTTTTCTCTTTAGTTGGTTCGATTGAACCAATTTCCCTGTTCAATCAAACCAAGCACGAACACAAGCCACCTTCACTCGTGCGCTCACCTGAGGCGCCCAACGCTTGGGTTCAGGCGAGCACCCAAGCGATGCTTCAATGAATCACATTGCCTAGAAGTTGTGCATGGCACTTAAGCCTTGCCTCACCCGAGCACCCAGGCACCTATCAAAAACACTGATTGTTCCTAATTTTTTCTATTTTTGGGGCTTCAATAGATATTTGATTCGAGTTGAAATATTTTTAATAAAGATTATGATTATGCAATGCTCTTGTGAGTTTGCAAGGATTTATTTTGGTTGCTTTTATTTCGACAACTTGATGAACACGTATTAGAAACATACATCCAAAGCTTTTTCTTAATTGTGGTTCTAGTTTGCAATTACTACAAGAGCTAGAGATATTATAACTGAAATTAGTCCACACATATTGCACATGCAACGCTGTTAACTTGCCATTTTTCCCAATTAGGAAATTCTAGTCATATGATTTTGTTTATTCTTTTTTGTCCATGTTTTCGTTTCAGTTTAACCCAAATA